CCCCAAAAACCCCACAACAACCAAAAAAACCCCCCTCCAAAACCAAAACCATTTAAGTTTTTAATTCTTTCTTTTATGTTTCAGTGATTAACTACCATCTCTTATCACACTGTTAATATGTTTTTTTTTCTACATGTCTGCCAAGGAACGTTAGAAAATTAAAAAACTCCTATAGGGTAGAAACCATTTTACCTAACACTGTCTTCCCTTAGCATTTAGCAAAGCAGACACTCTGCATATTTTAAATTATATAAAAATTTCCCTCCTTTTTTGATAGAAGGGAAACCAGACTTAAGCATTATTAACATTTTATATAGGGCTGGGGATTTAGCTCAGCGGTTCGGTGGCCTTCCTTGCGAAGCGCAAGGACCAGAGTTCGATCCCTGGTACCAAAAAAACAAAAACAAACATTTTATTTGCCTGTTTGTCTACTGCTTGATTGATGCAGGGGGCTGAATCTAGGGCCTTCACATTAAGCTCCCTCCCAGTCCTTTAGTTTTTTATTTTGAGACAGTGTCTTGTTAAGTCTAAGTTGCCCGGGAAGGACTCAAACTTGCCTTCTTCCTTCCTTAGCTTTCCAGAGCACTGGGATTACAGGTGTTCCCCACCATGGCCCCCTAACCCTATTATTATTATTGTTGTTGTTGTTGTTATTTTTTGGTACCAGGGATTGAACTCAGGACCTTGTGCTTGCAAGACAGGTGGTGGAACCACTGAGTTAAATCCCTGGCCCTTAACCCTATTATTTATAATGTTGCTGAGCACTGTAATTATATCTGAATTCCTAAAATAGAAGATGTTTATTCTAGAATTATTTTCTGGAAGTTTTTTCTGGTAATGATAACCATGGTAAATTTTAGTGTCTAAAGGAGAATGTATATATATATATAAAAAAATAAGACAACTACATAACTCCTACTATACATTTTTAGTACAAATAATGTTACTACTTATTACTATCAAAAGTTTTTAATTTTATTCTTTTTTCCTTTATAAGGAATTAAAGATTTTATTTTGCTGTGTGGCCGGATTTTCTTACTGCTTGCTCTTCTTACTTTAATTATTTCTGTGGCTACGTCATTGCTTAACTCATGCAAATCTTTCCAAGTTTATCAGAAAGGTGAGTTTATTATATATACTTTTATTTATACTTCCCTTGCTTTTTTACTCAAATTTATTTTATTCTACAATTTTGTATAGTAATAACCATTGACTTGTGATATATAATTTCAAGGGGTATGGTCATTTATAACCTTTGCAATTATTATTATTATTATTATTATTATTATTATTTGGTACTGAGGATCGAACTCGGGTCCTTGTGCTTGTGAGGCAGGTGGCAGAACCACTGGGCTAAATCTTTGGCACAGCAGTGATTATTTTGGAGGTACTGAGGGCAACTCGGGTCCTTGTGCTTGTGAGGCAGGTGGCAGAACCACTGGGCTAAATCTTTGGCACAGCAGTGATTATTTTGGATGGACTGTAAATCAACATTTTTATCAGAAACTGTACATTTTCCATATATACTTCTGAAATTGTCATTTCTGAGTTACTGCATTGTAAATTCCCCCATTTTACATTGTGTATTTGTGTCACTTAAACTGCTGTGTGATATCTATGGTTTGTAAACTTTTTTTCCAAAGAGTAATTATATCTACCATTAGTCTTTAAAGACTTTTCATCCTCATTTTAAATTTTATTCTACCTGTATTAATTTAGGCACGTATGTCTTGTGTATAATTAAGTGCTTTTAATTTTAAGAAATCATGCTTGTTTTTATTTTTGTTTCTGTTTTGATATGAGGCTAAGTTCTAGAAGCCTTTTAAAAGAATACCATATGCAAGGGCTGGGGATTTAGCTCAGTGGCACCGCGCCTGCCTTACAAGCACAAGATCCTGAGTTCAATCCCTGGCACTGCAAAACAAACAAACAACAAAAGAATACCATATGTGGACTCAGAATAGATGAGTTTTAAAGCTAACAGCTACATTCTTATATGTAGTAGGAAAAAGTTTAAAAATAATAAATTTGGTAGGTTATATTTAGTTTTATTGTGTATTTAAATGTAAAGAAAAGTTAAAATACTTAAATATTTAAAAAATGAAGGGCTTAATTTGTAGCCCCTTCATAGTATCTGTGAAAATAAAATAATCCTAAACAATTATGCAATGCAGCTCAATCATAATGACAATATAGGTGTTTCTGGATCTCTTAATCATGGGTAGTTTTGTTTTCTGTTTTCTTTTTGGTAAGTTATTTGATCTTTTATACTTCATATAATAACAGTTGGAAATTAAGAGTATTGTAATTTCCCTTAGGAATTTGGTGTGAAATGTAAATATATTTTCAAGGCTGGGGTTGTAGAAGCGTGATTAGCATATGAAAAGCCCTGAGTTCAATCCTCAGCTTTCATTAATAAATAAATAAAAATAAAATATTTTGATACCAGTGGGATACTTGGTGCTTACATTAAATTAGTAGGTCAGAAATCTGCCCTTGCTGTATTTTCTGTACGTTAAGTACCTTTGTACCTTTTTATTGCTGGAGTACAAGTTATTTGGTACATTTATGGATTCATAGTCAAGAGACATAATGCTCAAGTGAAGGCTAATGCTATCTAAAATGAAATACTATTAGGACTGTATTTAGTGCCTGACTACTGGCAGATTTTTTTCCAAGGAGTAGAAAATCAGCTTGCTGTTTTACGTCCTGTCTCTCTTATTGTCATTAGATATTGAGATGGAAAGGTGTCCTGATTTGGTGCATCAGAGGTTTAGAAAGTTTTCAGTGGCTTAGTGATTATCCTCTAGGGGTGGACATGAGGTTCGGCGGTAGAGTGCTTGCCTTGCTTGTGTAGAGCCCTGGGTTTGATTTGTAGTGCTCATGTGTGCATGTAAACACACATGAAGAAAAAAAGTGAAAGAAAAAGGTAATGTTTCACTATTGACTTATTTTAAATGTACATCTTTGATTCAGTTTGGAAAGGGTCTTAACATCAGTGAGTCTGACTGACCAAATAGCAAGTTAGTGGTCAAACTAGGCCTTCTGGTTTCCTGATGTACTCTTATCCTAACCTTTGCTTTATAAACCTAGGGAAATAACTGCCGCATAGGGGTAAAGCTATTGGCAGAATGGAATGCTCCTTTTTAAGGAGCCAGGCAGTTCGTCGGATGTTTTCCTAAAAGGTGGATCATTCCTCAAGGGAGTTGTAGAGTTTTGATTCATCTTTAATATTTGTAAGCCATTTCAAATATTATTGTTGCTCTATTAAAAATTATTCTTTAACTGTTTTAAGAATCAAGCTACATAGTTTTTAAAATGAAATGTATTATACCAAGATTAAAAAAGCATCCATACAACAGAAATCCTTACTGGTAATATTCAGTGGATAGTAAACTAATACTGGTTCAGTCATATTAGGAGTTGAAAGGACACCTACCTTTGAGGACTATGTTGCTTTTACTGTCATGTCCGGGGCAACAGAATGGCATTCATTGCGCCTGAAGCTTTTCTACTGCATAGTTCATGTGCAGTAATGGGCTTCCATGCTGTGTTGTAACCTGCTGAAACCCTACTGAGACAAGAAAAATAGGGTTGTGATGGCTGGTGGCCAAAAGAAGAGGCAAACAACCATTGCATCAACCTTACCTCACCTCATCCTGTTTACCTAAGAAAAAACAGGAGGGCTTTTTGCTGGTATGAGTCAGGATTGCTCCAAAGACCTACCAGAAGATGCATTTACACACAAGAGGTACCCTGAGGGGGGACTACCTGCTTCTGGGCATTATGCTCATGCATACACATTATGGTATTGCTCCATTAATTTATACATGTGCTAATGTCTGATCTCACTGTACTTCAACAATAGGGCTTCTCTAGTGTTGCTCTCTTTCCTGGCCTTTTCTAAGGGGCAGCCTGCAACTATGTATCTGTGACTCTCATAAGCTTTTTCTTTACAAGTTCCTGTTAGCTGTATTTCCTGAGTCAAAGAACTCACAAATCCATTGACATCGGAATGTTATGGAAGCCTCGCTAGCAATGCTGTTATATATAACACTGGTCAGAGAATTGTTTCAAAACAGCCTGTTATAAACTTTGCTACAGATTTCATGATCAGATTTCTTAAGTTTCAGCTGTTTACATGCACTCCATTTTCATTACTTGAAAAAATAGAATCTTTTTAGAAGGCTGTCTACTCCAAAATATTAAAATCTATAGACTATTTTCAGAGGATATATTGTTTGACTTATAGGTATGTGGGAATTAACATTTTTGTGTTTTGATGTCTTAGAAGATGAAGAAGAAAAGAATGAGAGAAGACAAAAACTTGTGAGAAAAAAACAACAAGAAGCACAGAGTGAAAGGGTAAAGCATGACTGCTTATGCTGGGCAGACATGACTTGTGCCTAATGATACATTAAGTTAAAGATATACATATGTGTATGGAGTATATATTTTATATATATTGTGTGCATGCCTATGGGAGAGAGACAGAGAAAGAGACAGAGGGAGAGACAGGGTCTCACAATGTAGTTTAGGCTAGTCTTGAACTCCTGATGATTCTCCTGCCTCAGCCTCCTGAGTGCTGGGATTACAGCTGTGTCATCAGGGCCCATGCTGTGATGTCACTTGATATGGGACTTTGTGTATGTATGTGTGTGTGTGTGTGTGTGTGTGTGCTAGAAATTAAGTCCCTACACATGGAGACATGTCCTTTAGTTCTGTGAAATTGTCTTGTATTATTTATTTGTTTAAATTTTTTTTGCTACTAGGGATCAAATTCGGGATTGATGCACTTGTGAGGCCAGTGGCAGCACCACTGAGCTAAATCTTGTATTATTTCTTGAATATTTTCTTTTTTTTGTTTGTTTTTTGAGACAGGGTCTCACTATGTATCCCAGGCTGGATGGGAACTCTTGGAGATCCTCCTGCCTCAGCCTCTCAAGTGCTGGGATTTACAGGTGTATGCCACTACATCTGGCATATCTTTTTCTTTCTGAACTCCCCCATTAGGTGAATTTGAGATTGAGAGATTAAGCCCCTGATTGTTTCCTCTGCTTGTCTATCCATTTCAGTGGTTCTGGGGAATTTCAGTTGATTATTTCAGCTATTATGTTAATTTCCAAGACTAGTTACCTTCTGATTTCCCCTTTTTTATGATATAGACAGCTAAGTTAGATAGAAATTAATATACAAGCACAAGGTACCAAAAAAAAAAAACCCAAATAAATTAATATAAAGTTTGAGAGGGACTGGGTTCTCAAGTCAGCACAAAAATAAAGACATCAGAATTGTAACTGGAGATACATCTGAAGAAGGCCCTACCTCAAGATAAAGATTCAGTGGCTAGGCCTACATTTCTCCCTAAAGAACAAAGAGGAACTTGAAATTATACTGCAATTAGAAAAAATTAGTTCAATAAGTCCTGATAGGCATCAGATGCCACAGTGAGTGGCCAGTGCATCTGGACCCATCCCAACACAAAGATGTCTTTGATCTTCACATGTACCCCTTGCTGAGTGATTCATTTCCCTACTGGATCACGATTAGCTAAGTAACTATACTCGTAACCCTATAGGTTCATTGTATGCACAATGTTGTTGTGGCAATGCTGTATAAATGTAGGTCCTTCATGCCTACCTCATTTGGAACCCCTCCTGGCAATCCAGTAAAACTCTCTCCTTATGTCCAATAAAACTCCTAACTTCTTCGTTTGGTTTGTGATTTCATTCCTGTATGTTGTGGGACCATGAACTTGACACATTTGACATCTAACAGGTCAGGAATTATATTTCCCCTATTTCAATCCTCTTGTTTCAAGTAGTATTTTTTGTTATCTGAGGATGTTGTTTAAAATGTTTTTCTGCTTTCAGCATACTTTCTTATTTTTCCATGGTCCCTTTTGTTTATTTTAGTGTGTTTTTCATATTGCAGGCTTTCCTTAATCATCTGGTGACCCTTGGCTCAGCTACTTTGACATTTAAAATGGATACACTAGAAAGCAAATTGATGATTAGACAGGTGTGTTCATTTGCAAAAGTTTATCAAGCCCACATAAGATGTGTGTTCTTTACTGTTTATAAGTCATACATCAATAAAAAAGAAAAGGCAAAATAAAAGTAAGTTGGTGGGCTGGGGATTTAGCTCAGTAGTTCGGCTACCTTGCAACCGAAAGGTCCCGAGTTTGATACCTGGTACCAAAAAAAAAAAAAAAAAGTAAATTGGTATTTTTGTGTACATGGGCAGAGCTTGACAGGATAACTTGGTGCCTGAGGAGGAATTTAGTTTCCTCTGTGTCTTGGTTCTTTTGCTATTCACCTTCTCCAGAGATGGCTCCTCCGCTCACCTGCTGAGGGGTTTAAAGCCTGAGTGCCACCTGTGAGTCAAGTGGAAATGGCTGAGAAGTCCCAGCTTCTAGTGCGTATCTTTTTCTACTTTCTCCATTTTACTCCTCACTCCTGTCTTCCAGTAGGCCTGCAGTCTGTGACTGCAGTATCTCCACTTCTGGTAGTATGTGGTAGGGAAGTGGGTCTGAGGATCTAACAGAGCTTTTCTTTTCTCTTTTTTCTATGAATCTGAAGTGTACGGAGTTGGTATAAATCATTCTGTTGTAAGTTCACTGTTGGTTCATGCATGGCTTCCCCCACCCGTCCACATTTTCAGCTTTGCACCTTACCCCAGGACCCTACAAGGGCACCAACTTGCTTCTTACTGCTGTTCTCCATTGTGAGCATTTCCACTGTAGCTTTCTCACCTGTTGTGTCAGTTACCTGTCCTCCACCTATCTTCACAGATAGTGGTTTGGGTATTTTGATATTGCTTTGTTTTGTCACTGATGGAATTTGGGCGTCGGTTTTTTGTTGAAATTGTTTTGGGCTGGTTCCCACTAGAAGGAAGCAGTCATAGTTTCATGTTGTCATCTTTAAACCAGGAGTTTATTTTGTTTTGTTTTTCAGATGGGCTCTTGCCGTGTTGCCCAGTCTACTCTTAGTTTTTTTTTTGTTTTTTTTTTTTTGGTATCAGGGATCAAATTTGGGAGGCAGGCGGCGGAACCACTGAGCTAAATCCCCGACCGCAGTCTACTCTTAAATCTGTGGGCTTTTGAGCAGTCTTCCCATCTCATCCTGCTGAGTAGCAGGGAATATAGGAACCTGCCATCATGCCTGGCTTCCAGTTGTTTTAATCTCAAAAGTACATTCTGTTTTACCATGATTGGGCTATACAGTTACTATACAGCTAATACTCTTTCCAGATGAGTTCTTGCTCTGTAGGACCTGACAACACAAGAAGGCATCATGCTTAGAACAAAACTACTCAGATTTTAGAAGCCAGGGATTACATGGTATGCACTTCTGCATCCCTAGTTTTTAGATGTTTCTGTTGAACTGAAAACAATTAAAAATACATAGACTAGGTGTGGTGGTGCACACCTGTAATCCCAGCCCTCGGGAGGGTAAGACAAGAGGACTGCCAGGAGTTCAAGGCTAGCCTGGAATATATAGTGCGACACTATTTTAAACAAAATGACCCCCCCCAAAAAAACCCCAAACAAAAAAAACATAGGCATAATGCCATATAAGCAAAGGTACAGAATGTTTGGTTTTATTTTATTTTGTAGAACATTTATTTGTTTGTATTTATAAATGAGAATTTTTTAAATGCAAAATGAGGGATGCTGCTTTATTGCCTAAAGTGAATTAGGGTGAAAATAATTTCTGACCTGGTTCCTACTTAGGACTTTATAGACACTGTGAATTTTTTAGGAACATTAATGTATAATAATAACGTACTTTTTTTCTTGAACAGGCCAGTAGATACACAGAGAACACTTTAAAACCTCGCCAGGAAATGAAGTTAAAAAAACTGGAAGAGCGCTTTTATCAAATGACGGGTGAAACCTGGAAGTTAACCAGTGGTCACAAACTTGGGGTTAGAAAATATTCTATTATATATTTTTTTTTCTAAAAATTTTTTTTTATTTTATCCCTTTTCCCAACTATTTTGAATCTATTATTTGTTTCTTTTCATTAATTTTTTTAAAAGTTGAAAATGATGTTAAACAGTATAGTCTGCCTTTTAGGAGTCTTTGTTGATAATTATTACTTATCAGTTTTGTTTTTGTTTTTTTTGGTACTGAGGATCGAACTTGGGTCCTTGCACTTGTGAGGCAGGTGGCAGCACCACTGAGCTAAATACCCAGCCCCCATAATGATTACTTATCAGTTTTTATTCAGCATGCTTGTGTATCAAGTAGTTAAGTAGTTCTTGGTGCCTGAGGAGTGTGTATCTTAGAAAAGCTTTATCATAAGGCAGACTTCAAGAAAACTGTAAAGAAACCAGTTTTAAGGAAATTCTGATTTTTCCTCAATTTAGACCTCTAAGATATTTAGCTCACATTATATTTACTATGTTTGGCTCTGTTTATAAAGTCAAATCAGCCTTGGATTATTTTTTCCTTCTGACATTGAGGACAAATTTTGTCATTATCTAATATAAGTTTACAATTTTGTTTCTTAAAAAAGGATATTTATAGAGGTTTTAGAGTAATTGGTCACAAAACTGTGTAAGACCCATTTCTATTCCAAACACATTTCTGGTGTTTTGGTTATTGGCTTTTTGTTTATATAGCAAATTTTACTGTCTTGTAAAGAAAATGATCTAGTAAAGAAACAGTTCTTACAGTAAGCTGTAGGTAATAAAGATGAGCCACAGAAAATACAACTGCTCTATGTAGTGACTATTCTTGAGTTGAGTTTGCCTTCTGTTTAGTGTTGTAGTTGGTAGACATTGGTAGGCTTTTTTTTTTTTTGATGGGGGAGGGCACAGCGTACTGTATTGTTCAGGCCGGTCTTACCTCCTAGGCTTAAGTGGTGACTATAGGCACTTATCAACATGCTCACTTGTGGTGTTAATTTTAGCCTTGTCTAAGGTGAAATAAGTCATTCTGCCCCTCGCTTTTAGGCTGTCTTTCTTCATGGTACTACTGGTACATATTTTAACCTGATTAGTGGAGACAACAAAAGCCAAGGACAGGATCAGCTGTTAGTAAATTTAAAGGTCTTAGGACTGTCAGAGGACACGAGAAGCCGAACTGAAGCAGTGTTCGAGAATCAGCCCCAGCATTGTAGGCTGCATGGAGGCAGTCTGGACTGGACTTGGAAAGTTAATTTTTTAGCATTAAGATCTCTTGATTACCATTCTCCATACTCCTTCCACTAAATTTTCTTAGGATAAAGAGAGCGGGATTAACCTTACTTCAATGGTGAACATTTTAGTTTGATAAAGAGAACTTTTTCTCTTAGAAGAGTGGTTATCGAAGGTATTACTAAGTGAGTATATGTTTGAGAATTTTACATTTAAGTAAACTATTTTGCTAGGGGAAAATTTCAATAGATAATATTAATAAAGAGTAATCTTAGCAGGATCTGGTAGCGCATATGTATAATCCCAGAACACAGGAGGTGGAGGCAGGGGGATTTCGCATTTGAGGCCAGTCTGAACTGTACAGTGAGACACTGTCTCAGAAACAAAAATGAAAATAAACCTTCCAAAAGAAAGTACTCTGTGTAAGTTCTGGAAAAAAATATTTTGTCTCCTCACATGATTAGTTAAAATGGAAGATCAAAATTTGAATTTGAAAACTAGACTGTTTATATATAATTAGATACAAGACCACAGTCAGCTGTGGAAATTTTATATGGTCATATATGAAGACATAGGGTTCTACACATACTCTATTTTCACAGTCTTTGAAAACATACTCCTTAATACTGTCTTACTTATTTTAGGGTATCATTCATCATTTTTCTTTCTACTATCCCACTGAGCAGCTTAGGAGCTCATGAGATGCAGAGGGCCCCATGAGCCTCTTGTCTGTCAGAGGAAACTCCAGAACTTGATAAGCTTATGGTGGTTTCTGCAAGATATTAACCAAAGAGAGAAGGCTTTAATTTTTATGGGGGGGGTCTAATGATAACTTTTTAAATAGAAATGCCATTATAGTAAAATAAATAATCATTGTGTATAGAATAAAATTGATGGAAAGAAATTTTCTGTTATTTTTTACCAGGGTGATGAAGATTTGGTGCTTGAAAACATGGGCCAGACATCTTTTGAAACATCAAACAGAGAAGCCGCTAAGAGACGAAATTTGCCCAATCCTTCAACCCAAGTTCCGCCACCTGCTGCCCACCCCTTGCAGAAAGAGGTTGCATAATGCCAGTTCACTTCATTGTGTCCATGTGGTTCTCTGGGCTGAGGTGGTTTACTGGGGAAGACCGTGTCTTAGCACCTGAGAAATGATTATCTTCACTAGGAATCACTTGTCTTTTTTAACACTAATATTAAGGTTCTGAACCAAACTTTCAAATAGTCCTCTTGCTTCAGCCTCCTAAGTGCTGGGATTATAGGTATGAACATCACACCTGGCAAAAAGTTGAATTTCCTTTTTTTAAATAACCTTCATGCTGATGGGAAATTCTGGTTGATAGTTGTGTACTTTTGATACCAAGGGAAAACAAATGGATTATCTTGTAAATGAAAGTAGTGTTTATTAGACAGATTGGTGTAAGACAGAATGGTGTGGGCTGGGGAGTTAGCTCGGTGGTGCCACCACCTGCCTTGCAAGTGCAAGGCTCTGAATTTGATCCTGGTACCAAAAAAAAAGACAATGGTGTATTAAAAAATAAAAATGGATCCCTGGAAGTGAAGCTGTTAATAATAATGGAAAGTTAATTTTATGAGAGGAAATGGTCTCAACATTTTATTTCTTAATAGATTAATAGAAACAGGAAAACATGAGTAAATGACAAAAGCAACCAGAGAAAACGTTTGCTACCCAGTTCGCCGGGAATGTCAATGAGGAAAAAGAAAAAAATGTATTCATTAAAATGTGTTTAGGTATATACTAAGTAATTTTAGGATCTTACTGAACTTAATTCATATTAGTATTTTACTGTTTCTTTAAACAGTACATTTTTATGTTAGCACATAGATTGGTAGTTGTCACCTCAAATCTTATTTTTATGATGTATTATTAGTACAGAGTTGCTTATCCAAAGATGTTTACTGAACTCTCACCACCCCCTTCCTTTTCTTCACTGGGTGATGAACTCAGGGCAATGCACCTGCCAGTCAAGGGCTCTACCACTGAGCTACGCGTCCAGCGCCAGCTTTCATTTACACTGTAAACTGTAGGAATGCTTCTCATTGCAACTATTTTTTTTTTTTTTTTGGTACTGGAGATTGAACTCGGGTCCTTGTGCTTGCAAGGCAGGTGGTGGAAACACTGAGATAAATCCCCAGCCCCTCATTGCAACTATTTTTAAAGGATTCTTGTACATGTTTACATTTCTTTCACTAACACTTATTTACATTTCTTTAGGTTCCTGACTTACCTGAAGAACCTTCTGAAACAGCTAAGGAAGTAAGCTTATTTTCTAAAAATTATATTCTCCGTTTTGTCTAACATCAAGTAAATATATCTTGTCAACAAGTGAGTTTAGAGAGAAAAGATAGCATGTTCATGTGACTGCACTGTAATTAAGTCTTGTTTTGAATATGGCACCATTTCAGATTCCTCAGCTGAGTCTTGTTTTAGAAGCTTTCTGTTGGCTGCATTGCTTTTTAGAGCCCACGCACAGGCTGAGGCAGCGATAGAGTACACATAAGCGTTTCTAGTACTTTAGGTCAGCAGTCAACTGTTCAATAAAACAGAATCAAAATAGGCAGATGCTTCAAATTATAACTCTTCCTTTAGAGATGAAGACTGCAGCTATGTGTTTTCAGAGTGGTCTGCATTATGGGGCTGGGCTGGGACTTGCCTCTACCTACACTGAGCTGCCTTCCTCCTAGCTGCTGTTATCATCGGCTCTGCCTTCCTGGCCTGGGCCAGCTTAGTTACAGACACTTGTCAGACACAGGGGAAACACACATCTTTACATCCTGCACGTCATTTGGGCAGTGTGTCCAGGAGAATTGTCACAGCTTTCCATTTCGTGAAGGTTAGCAACTATTATTACCATACTTCTTGGAAAAGATGTTGAGGTGACAATGAAAGCAATTAGGGGGTTCTCATTTTTGCCAACACTTTTTAACTTCAAGTTTAGTACTTTGGATAGCCGAGAAAAATCTGAAAGTCATCCAAATGTAGAGACAATGAAGTGAGCAATACAGATCCTGAACTCCCAGGAAAAGAATTTTTTTTAAAACTTCAAATCTCCGATTATACCAGAGAGATCTATGCCTTAAATATGTTGTTGTGATTGCCACCCCTCATGAATCCCTTGTATCCATAGAAACCATTTTATAGCATAAATATGTTTCTAGGAAACACATTTTTTAAACTGTCCAGATTACAGACCTCAGGCTGTCAAGAGAATGCTTTGAAACCACCTTTTGGTGGTCATATGTAAAACAGTATTTTTCTTGATTCTCAGGCTTATGAGCCTGAAAAGGATAAAAAATACTGGAGTATTCTGATTTTAATAGACTCATCATTGGGCAAGGCATTTTTCTATCTGTGCAGTGAGTACTGCACATTTCTAAGACTTCAGTGCAAAACTTAACTCATTAGCCATTCACAAGACTGGATGACTTCAAATGTCCTATTTTGTCAGTAATTCTGTTCCTCTCATGGATCTAGACCTTACCTTTCTAGTCCTGGTCTACTGACCTGGTGCTGGACAGTCAGCCTAGTCCAGTGGTGGTGAACTATGGCACTCGTGCGGAGGTGGGCTGTTTTTAACATTGAAAGCTCTGAAAGGGTCTCCATCACTGGCCTAGTCCCTCTGGACTTCTCTCCCTATCTTTTCCTGTCCATTGTAGAAGTTTTCAGAACAGTGAAAATAAGATTGTAAACATCATCATAAAATTATGTTAAGAAAAAGCACTCACTCTTGGTGAGTGTGGCTTCTAATCCATCTTCTGTCCTATCACCCTAATAAAGTATTTCTAACATAAAAAAAAAAGCATACATAGAGCCAGGAAGGGTATTTTGGGCTATCTGTCCTTCCTTTTTGGGGGTGGGGGTGGGTACTGCAGATCAAACTCAGGACATTGTGCTTGCAAAGCAGATGGTGGCACCACTGAGCTAAATCCCTAGCCCCTTTTTCTTTTCCTTTGGCACCAGGGATTGAATACGGGACCTTGTGCTTGTGAGGCAGGTTCTTTTTTTTTAAGACAGGTTCTCACTGTGTAGTTCAGGCTGGCCTCAAACTTTAGGCAATCCTCCTGCCTTAGCCTCCCAAGTGCTGGGGATTATAGGCACGTACCATCATGCCTGACTGGGATGTTTTTCTTTCTATATTATATAGTCATGTTTTTGGCATTCTGAAAAATACTCTTTCCTGTTTTATCAACCTAATGATTTCAACCTGGTATCCTAATCATTACATTTCACATGACATCATTACATATCATCATACCTATTAGCCTGCTCCTGTCATACAAACATATTTAAGTCTCTGCATAAGTTTTATGATATATATATGATATATATAAGGAAATTCTATTTCCTTATTAAAGTTTGATCTACTATATGGGAGTATTCACAGAGCGACATTTTTATAATTCTATTTGGTTGGAGATGGAACTAACACTCATTTTAAAAGATGTCAGAAATAGATGAAGCTTTTGCTGTCATCTGTCTGTATATTTTTTCTGTATGTGAAGTAACTGTGACTCTCTAATAATAAGCTATATAAGAAAATTCCTGTTTTACTGGAAGCCTGAATGGAAAGGAGTGGACTAGAAGATGAGGGAACTAATGTGGATTTGATAGTAGAGGGGCGTGTCTGGAAACTAACGCAGTACTCACTTAAGCAGTACATATGATTTAAGTGTTCACTATTGTAGTTTAAATAGAGTTCTAAAATATGGAGATGGTTAGATTTCTTCAGTCTGAGATGAGAAAATAGAGTCCAGAACTCTCAAATAGTCACTGTACGTTACTGTTCTGCTTTTAAAGACAGGAATCTTAGAATTTAAGGTAATTTGAAAGTAATTTTGTAAATCATCATATAAAGTTACCATATTATCACAGCAACTATTTTCATTATTGTTGGATGCTGTCTTAAACAAATTTTAATTTTAAATCCAATTTCACTTAACAGTTTTTATTTGGGACCCTGAGTTTTTTCTTTTTTAGTATATGTGCTGCTGAAGCAAGCACTTTTTTTTTTTTTTTTTTTTTAGATGGTCTTACTGTGTAAGTTCAGGCTTACCTTGAACTCACTATGCAGTCCATGGTGGCCTCCTGCCTCAGCCTCTCGGAGTGCCAGGATTATAGGCATGTGCTGCCACACCCGGCTCAGAAGATTTTTTTTTTCCCAGTATGAATTGCAGCCCACACATTCTAGCTGTAAGCCTACTCCACTGTCAGTAATAGTAGGAGAAACTGTACAACCAACCTTCCCAGTATTGTAACAGAATAATCACCGGACTTCATTTCTCTCAAATATTTATCTTATCATAAGGAAAAATATTCACTAAATTTTAACTGTAGTTTTGCTACGGCCCTTATGCTTGCGAGGCAGGCAGCAGAATCACTGAGCTTAATCCCCAGCCCGTGCAGCCTGATTTTTCTTTTCCTCATTGAGTTTATTGGTACATTTTAGGTATACAGTACAGTTACATTCATTATTGGAATCTTAATGTAACTTTCCTGAGGGAGGAGCTGCTCTTAAGCCCCATTTACAAATAGCTCCTTAGACAGTTGATGATGTTAAGACGTAAGAAAGGGTTCTCAGGGCGGGGATTCAGCTCAGTGGTTCCAGCATCTGCCTTGCAAGCACAAGGACCCAAGTTCTATTCTTGGTACCAAAAAAAAAAAAGTTTCTTGTCAGGTACATAATGAATTTCAGAATAAGTTAATTCATTACCTTCTTTTATAATTGTCATTAGTATAGTAGCAGTTTGCAAGCTCTTTTTAGGTGTTTGTTTTATCAAAGGGAAGATTATTGGGGGATTCAGTATGTGGAGCAGATACAGCTGCTGTGAGGCAGGGTGGGCTTCCTGAGCTTCATTACCCAGGCCAACTCTGGCTCTGTCTCTCACACGCCTGGAAAGATGGAGATGGTATGCAGCCTGCAAAGGCAGTTGGATGGGTAACTTTTGGCTTCCTTCCAGCCTAGTGTTTTTCTCGTCTGTAGACTATGGGTTGCACTGGGTCTTCTTGTTTTGGTAGGTCACTCTGGAAGCCAGCTGTAATCTGGATAGTATCCAGGAAGGCAGATACACTTAGTCTCTGGTGTCCTCTTTGGAAGGCTGTTACTGACCCGAGTCAGTAAGATGATGTTTACTTTTCGATTTTGGAAGAATTATTTCTGTGTTTAGGGTGAAGTTCATCTGGACCCTGATGTTGCTCTGCCACTCTCAGAGCTAAATTTCTACAAATTTCTATGTGAGCTTTTTTGATTACAGATGTTTCCTACAGTAGTAATTAATAATGACAAATTGAATTTTTGGTTTGGATCAGAATTCTGATCTGAACATTTTTATTCCTCAGGTAGTTACTGTTGCTCTGCGATGTCGAAATGGGAAAATCTTGAGGAGAAGGTTTTTTAAGTCTTGTAGTTCACAGGTGAGAGAATTTGTATTTTGAGGGTTTTTCTTTTCATTACTTAAGATCGAACCAAGGACTTTCACATGGAGCTACATTCACAGCCCTTTTTATATTATTATTTTAAGAAAATTTTTGAAACAGGGTCTCACTAAGTCCCTAGGCTGGGCTCAAACCTGCAATTCTCTTGCTTTAGTGTCTCAGAATATGGGATTACAGGGGTGTGTCTGTATAAGTAGGCATGGCCAGCTTCTCTGAGTTGTGATCTTTGCCTTCAAACTTTGCTAAGTCCTTCACTTCAGTGTAATCCCCCACTTTTTTTCCTAATACTGGAAATTGAACAAAGGGCCTTGCTGATTTTGTGCGAGTGTTCTACCACTGAACTAGATCCCAGACCTTTTTTTATTTTGAAACAAGGTCTAGCTAAATTGACTAGGGTGTTCTGAACTTGTGATCATCCTTGCTCCAGAGTAGCTGGGTTTACACCATACCCATCTAACACATACACGAGCATCAGAATGCATAGTGAATTTTTAAATTTTAAAAATGTATAATAAAAGAGACACTGCCATTAATCTTCCTCAAAATACCACCCCTACACTTATTCCATCATAATTGCCATTTCTTTTGTTTTGTTTTGAGACAGGATTTCACTATGTAGTTCAGGCTGAACTTGAACTCACTGTGTAGTCCAGACTAGCTTTAAATTTGCAGCAATTCTCTTGCTTTAGCCTCCTGAGTGCTGGAATTACAGGCATGTGCCACTACACCTGGGTGAAACACCATTTTCTACTTAGTACACTATCAAAGAAGAAAAGGAAATAATATCCAGTTTTTGCAAGCATATGGGGGAAAGTGGATTCTCCTAACTTATTAATCTGAATATAAATTGGGCCATGTCCCTGTGAGAATTAATTATTGTATTTTAAAAAATTTAAAATTACGTCTTTCGACCCAGTTATTTGATTTATGATCATTTATTCTAGGAAAATAAGAAGTGATCAAAGTTATGTGTTAGTAGGGATTTGATAAATTAAGGTATATCCCTATATTGGAAAATAATGGAAGTTTAAAAATTATGACATAGATAGATATACTTTTGGTACACAGAATATCAGTAGGTTCTTGGATGGCAGCTAGCAGCTGAAGTTAGGAATAGAAAACTGTTACTTACCTTTCTTAAAATAACAAAACATGATTTGTTAATATATACACATACATATGTATGTGTATATACACACACACAAATATAATATTTATTTATTTTTTGGTGCCAGGGATTGAACACGGGACCTTGTGCTTCCCAGGTGGTGGCAGACCACTGAGCTAAATCCTCCACTTTAAATATTCTATATTTTGAGGCTGCCATTGCTTGTAGGGAACAGTATGTGGAAACTTTGATCATTTTTATGAGACTCTTCGTGACAGGAAACGTTAGCACCCAGGGCAAGTTGGGATATCATAGCTGGATGTGGTGGCATATTCCTATAATCCCAGCATTTGGGAGCCTGAGCAAAGAGTATCACTGCGAGTTAAGTCAAGTTGAGGTCAGCCTGAACTACATATAGTGAAACCCTGTCTCAAACAACAAAAACAGAATCTCCGGGGCCTGGACATATTCATCGTGACAAAGCTCTGAGCCAATGGAGTTCTTGTTCCCAAATGAAACCCCTGAACCTGGTCGTTACCATCTGTGTCTTTTGGCATTCCGTCTTCTGAGCTCTGACCAGAATTTCCCATCACACTCAATTTGCAGCATTGTAGGGCTGCTTCAGCCGGCATCTCCAAACTGTTGCAAACTCCTTGCATGAACCCATTCCAAAGGCTTCTGAATCACATGGTGAGGTAGTATCACAGTAACAACCCCATTTCTCTAATACCAAAATCTGTCTTAGCCACTTTCTTGTCACTGAAACACAATACCAGATACCCACTCATTAAAGGAGGGGAGGTTTATTTTGGCTTACAGTTTGTAGAGGTTTCAATGCATAGTTGGCTGGTTCTAAGGCAGGGCAGCATGGCATAGGGGCATTGTAAAGCAGAACTTCTCACAGCAGGGATACGGAAAGCAGAGAACATCATTTTCCTGTAAACTCCAGAAAAAGTTATTTTGCAGAGTGAAAGTTCTGTCTCATTACTCACAGGGTCATTACACAATGTAAAAATCATCAGGGTGATCCAAAGGAACACAAGTGTGTATAGTATTTGGTAATGACAGAGCTTTTTATCTTGTAGGTTTTATTTGCCTGGATGGTGAAAATTGGGTACCACACATCCCTATATAGCCTTTTCACTTCCTTTCCCAGAAGACTTGTGGAAGTAGAGGGAGGCTGGTCACTGGCTGACATAGGAGTAACTACAGATACTCTACTCATCGTGGAAGAGAAAGAACAGAGCAATTAGTAAAGAAATGAGAACTACCTGTTCTACATTAAACCAGTTATACTGTGTGACCTAACAGTTCAGGAACAGATGTTAAAATCATGCTGTACCTTGACTAAGCTTAAGGCAGTAAACACTTTAAATTCATAACACATAGGAATATACTGGTGTAAAGGATTGAAAAAGATTAATATCTGCATGTATGTTTTGGAATGTGCCATCTTATAATGTACCAAATAAGAATGGGGTAACAGGACCAGGGATTTAGCTCAGTTGTTCCACCGGCTGCCTCCCAAGCGCAAGGACCCGAGTTCGATCCCTGGTACAAAAAAAAAAAGATTCCGGTAACAATATATGTAAGAAAGCACTTAACTTATATTTCTTCACAACTGCCATCATTTCTGTTAAAAACATTTTTGGGGGCCGGGGATTTGGCTCAGTGGTTATGCCGCTTGCCTTGCAAGTGCAAGATCCAGAGTTCGCTCCCCGGTACCAAAAAACAAAACAAAATAAAACAAAAAACCCAAAAAACATTTTTGGCTTCTGCCTCTTTAATCCTGAACCCCATAGTGACTATTTTATAATTCATTCAGACCTTTAAAATCATGTAAGTAGGAGTCTTTATTCTACAGTTATTTCAATTTAAAAACTTGTCTTTACTGTTCTTGTGAAAGGAAGGTATTGTTTATTTGACTGATATCTGCAATGTATATAATTTTACCTTGTATTAATTGTAACATTTACCATGTTCCAGGTGGAAAACTACGAAAGTATTAAAACAATGGTGAGATTTTTTTACAGTATCTCATCACTTCCTTTTTTGCTCATATACCTATAATGGTATACTCATGCACTATAATTACCATGTTCAAACTGAGTATAAAAGGCTATTGATTTTATTATAGTCACTCCTTTTCCCCATGCTCACCCCATTTCTTTTTGCTCACCTGACTCCTCTGTGTGTTACCCTTCATTTAACACTTCTTTATACTTTACTGTGGAGTTTATTACACCATATTGTGACTATTCTTATTTTCCCGAGTAAGATCTTGGGGAAAAGCTATGGCTTTTTTCCCTGAAGAAGTACTTACTATATAGTAGATGCTTAATACATGTGTGAAAATATGAGTAAGTAGTCTCAACTTTTAACTTTTTGTCTGAACTACGCCACATTAGAAGTTATTAATTATATAAGATCTTCCAAACCTTATATAAAAAAAATTCTGCCATAATCCTGTACCCAGAAATAAGCACGAATAGCATAGAGACTACAACTCAGGTCAACAAGCTTGAGTTCAACTTCTTGAGAACCCTTAGAACGACCTGGCTAAGATGCTCCCAGATTCTCTGCCCTCAGGATTTGTGAGACTAAATGTTTTGGGCAGCTAGGGCTTGATCTCATTTGTAATGCAGCAATAAGTAACATACAGAGGTGCTACCATAACACAATTCTAAAATGTGAGAGGGACTTTGAGGGGGGGCAGGAATAAGCTTTGAAAAGAAGTGTTAGTGGAAGCCTGAAGTGCCTTGAAACTGGATAAGAAAGTGTTGGATAGTTTTGAGGGAGGAGTTGGGGGACAATGTTACTGGCTAACAGTGGCAGGAAGTTCAGAAACACCAACAATTATGTGGAAAAATATGTAGAATGAATTAATTGGTGTAGCTAAGAATGTATTTCCAACCAGAGTAGTGAAAACGCCACTTGTTTTCTTCTTGGTGCTTACAGTAAAATGAGAGGGATGAGCTAAAGGATTGTTAAAAAGGAACCAGGGCTCACCTAAAGCAGCCAGCCTCACCACTTGACAAATGGCTTCACAGCAAAGCTCAAATCCAGGGCATTCTCAGGAAAATGTCATTTAAAAATGAGGGTAAAGGCATGTCTATAAAATCCTTTGTTTAGGCCTGAGAAATATCAAGGTTAATGGCATAGAGTAAGATTCACAGACAACTCAAACGTTCTATAAATATTACATCACCTGCTCGGTGTGATGGCACCCAAATGTAGTGCTAGGTACTTGGGACTACTGAGGCAGGAAAATAGATTGAGCCCAGGAGTTCAGGGCCAGACTGGGCAGCAAGATCTTATTTCTAAAATTAACTAAATAAATGAAATAATTTCATCAGTAGTAACATGGTCACCGTGAACTCTTCCAGAGGTTAAAAACTTTCTTGATTCCCCAAAATTTTACTGGGGAGAAATAAAGAAAAATGTTTTGCGGTAAAGTTGTGCCACCTTTCATGTAAAATGACTACAAAGGTGAAACCAAGGCCTCCCAGGACAAAGGTGAAAGTCATGGAGTCATTTCCTCAGGAATAGGACTGAGTGCTTCTAACACTTGCCTAACTGGATTTTAGAATCACTTGTGAATCAGTAACTTGTATATGACTTCTATTTTGAACAGCTCTGAACAGGAATATCCGTGGGAATTTTGTCTGTCCCATGATAGTATGCTGGATATGGGGAGCGGCCCTAACTTGTCTCTTGTTAGACATGTAGGTCAGGAGTTGTGTTTGTGAGCTGTACCTAGGGCTGGGGGTGTAGCTTGGGGGTAGAGATCTTACCTAGCATGTGCCAGGCCCTGGGCTCAATGCCCAGCACTGGGGGAGAGGGAAGATCACACCCTAGGAGTCTCTCATCTGTCCATAGACTTAATCATGTACATAATAAAATCCTGAACTTTTGAGCTCATATCTTAATAGCAGGAGGCTTCTGTGTTTCTTGGGATGGAGGAAATGTGTTTTCATGTCAGAAAATCACTGGGGATTAGAGGGTAGACTGGAAGCCAGCAAACAAGATAGGTCCCAGTACTTGCTTTTGGCATTCACTGTGCTGCCCTTTCCCACCATGTGCCAGGGTGGATCAGCAGAATTGACAAGAAATGGTACATATTTTCTTCAAGAATTATAAAGACTGCACTTCTACCCTGCTTCTCTCTTTCCCTTTGTCTCTTCTCACCTGTTCTGGTGGAAACCATGTTAATAACCCAGAAGAGACCACGTGTCTAGAACGGAAACCTTATGCCAATAGTTCCCTGTATTATAGAGAGCTAAATTAGATAGAAATTAACAGGCAGTCAGAGAAGGATTGGGCCCTTGAGGGAGTAAGTAAAGAAGACGAGACACACCAGGATTGTGGCTGGAGGCCAACCTGAAGACAGCCAGGCAGCCCTTGGAATGGGGATACAATATCTCGGCGTACAAGCCTCCCTAGAGATAAAGAGCAGCTTTACAGATTATACTGTAGTCAGCAGCACCTAGTCCAGGGAGCCCAGAGATGTATCAGATGCTTAGGTGGGAGACCAGAACATCTGGACCCATACTCCCCCACCCCTTTCCAGGAATCCCTTTGTTCTATGAGAAGTTCTAACAAGCTAAAGTTAATGATGAATGATGCTTATCATGCATCCTCGCTATGTGCTTTGCTTCCCAGTATACTTGTAATCCTATTACAGGTTAACTGTAGTTGAACCCACATTGTGCTTCTACTGTAAAAAATACCCCTAATAAAGAGCCTCAGTGCCACCAACTCAGGACTTCTCTTGGAAATCCAGAAGCTGTTCTTTCCAATAACTCTCTCAACCCCTCCTCCTTTGGTTTGCAACTTTATTCCTTGATGTTGTGATAACACAAACTCGGCACATCTGACATCTAACAGGTTTGGAGTTCTTTTCCTCATTGCACCTAAGTGTGCTTGGAGTTAATCCTCTAGCTGCAGGCATGGCTTCAGAGACTGTAAGTCTGGCTGACATCGTTTTTGTTATTGCTGCTGCTGTATGAGACAGGATCTTGCTACATGGCCCAAGCCAGCCTTGAACATGTGGCCCTCCTGCCTCAGCCTCCTGAGTGCTGCGATTACAAGTGTGCATGCACCCTCATGCTGGGCTCTGGCTGACAGCAACCTCACGAGGGTTGCTGAGCTGCTCCTGGATGCCTCATCATAGAAACTGCAAAATAAAGGTTTTTAGTTACTAAGTTTTGGGGAAATCTGTTATGTAGCACTAAATAATATAGGAAATATTCAGGGCATTTCCTCAAACAATACAAAGTCCTTAGGAATGACTTTTACTTGTCTGCGTAGATGTTTTTGGTTTCTATAGGTGCTGATTTCTCTTAAGATTCATTTCAAAAATTCAGCAAGCTTCTATTATTCTTTGAAAATAAGACTCAAATGCAAATAGAAATGCAAAAGAAAAAGAATGGACTTTTTTTTTTAAAAAAAAAAAAACAAGGTCTTGCTACGTAGTCCAGGCTGGCCTGGAACTCGCAGCAATCCTGCCTCAGCCTTCCCAAGTACTGGGGTCACAGGTGTGCGCCACCACACCTGGCTTAGAATGGATATTTCTAAACCCACTTGATCATAGAATTTCAGAGGCTCCAGTTTCAGTTGTTCACATACATTTCCAAGAATACTGCTATCATTTTAACAGGCCCAATTTTAGTACTTAGCAAACAGCTCCTAAAATTTGTGGAATAAAGTCCTCCATATCACCAGTTTCTAATACAAAAATCAGAAGCCGGACATGTGTTTACTATAGCCCCGTTGCAATGAGATGGAAAAGTTAGAAACAAGATGAATGGATTAATTTTTGTAGCTATGAAACTGAGAAAGAGGGAGGAGGGAGAGGAGGGAAAGGAAGCAACTTAGCTTTAAAGGTAACATGCTAGGGTCGGGGATTTAGATCCTTGCAAGCACAAGGACCCAAGTTCAATCCCTAGTACCAAAAAACAAACAAACAAACAAAAGGTAACATGCTAAAGTATGATAGAAACTGGCTAAAATTTGCTTCAGAATGATTGTGAGAGTAATATCAAAGCTAAGTGATAAATACATGGGGGGATTTATATTCAACTTCTGTAAAACTTTTCATGATTAAATGTTAAAGGGTTATCAACAGACTTAAAATTAAAAGACAGATTTGTCAAATGACCTATAAGCTCTCACTAAATTGTCCAGGCTCAGTTCTTAAGCCTATTTCAACTTAAAATATCCTTCAATGAAAGAGTGAAAGTGAAAATGTTAAAGTCCTACATCTTCAGGACATTAAAGAGTATGATGCCAGATGTTCAACCCCAGCTTGGGCAATTGAGAGACTTAACAAGACCCTGTCTCGAAAACAAAACAAAACAAAACAAAAAAGTTTTTAAAGGGGGTATAGGGGATGTGGTGTGATGGTGCACACCTATTAACTCCAGCAGTGGAGAGGCTGATGCAGATGGACAAGTTCAAGACCAGCCTAGGCAACTCGGCAAGACCCTATCTGAGAGAGAGAGAAGAAAAAAAAAGAAAATACTTCTGATTATTTTTAAAACATGCAATGAAAATGGTCAGAAACGCCCTGGGATCAGACAGACACCCCAAAGAAAGCCAACCTTGGAACAGGCTAACTAGGTGGCTACTGGTAGCTATGGGGCAACCAGCACAAAAGCTCTGTAAGGTTTTCTGATCCTTAAGTTGCTTGGGAAGGCACAGAAAGTATATGACCCACAGATAACTAGCGAAGGGCCACTGTTCTTGGAAGACTAGCACCTAACCCCATCTTTTTTTTTTTTTTTTTTGGTACCGGGGATTGAACTCGGGTCCTTGTGCTTGCAAGGCAGGCCACCGAACCGCTGAGCTAAGTCCCCGGCCCTAACCCCATCTTTTTTTTGTTTTGTTTTTTTTGAGACAGGGTCTCACTATGTAGTTGAGACTGAACTGGAACTCACTATGTAGCCCAGGCTGGTCTCGAACTCACAGCAATCCTCCTGCCTCAGCCTCCCGAGTGCTGGCATTACAGGTGTGTGCCATCAGGCCCGGCTGACCCCATCTTACTCTACCAGAATTCAGGCAAATATTTATTGCTGCTGGGAGAATAGGAGATAACGGAGTTTCTCTGCCCTGGGAGAAAGGCAGAAAATAGGGGTCTCCCATACCATTGCTCCCTCAGCTGGGATTAGACATGTACCTCTACACCCAGCAAAAAATAGCAATAACCCTATGCCCCCCAAAAATGTTAGACACACAAGAGCTGAAGGACTTCATTACCAGAAGACTTGCACTACAAGAAATTTAAGTCCTTAGAACAGAAAAATTATGCCTGGTGAAAATACTTACCTACACAAAACAATGAAGAATACTGTATTGTAAACAGCACATATTTTACACCAATTAATACATAAAATGCTTTTCTTATTTAAATCACTTTAAAAGATAAATTTTTAGGGGTCAGAGGATGTAGCTTGGGTAGAGCTTGCTGGCTTGCTTTGCCTTGAATACTTGAGGCCCTGGGTTCTGATCTTCAGCACTGTACACAAACAAAAAGACAATTTACTGTTTAAACAAAAGTAATATTCCAAGAGATTTATAATATATGTCAAATGAAAACATATGACCAGAAAAGCATCAAGTTGGGAAGTGTACTATTGTGAGAGTCTTTTTTTTTTCCTGGTACCGGAGATCTAACTCAGGACCTTGTACTTGTGAGGCAGGCAGTGGAACCACTGAGCTAAATCCCTGGCCTCATTATAAGAATCTTATTCCATAGGTCGAGTGGTACAATATCACTATGTTGTTAACAACGTGTATCACAAATTCCAAAGAATTAATTAAAGTAATAAAGAGTTATTCCTAACTTGCCATGATGAGATAAACGGAATAAAAAAATATTGAATTAATCCAAAAGAATCCAGAAAACAGGAAAGAAATAGGATAAATAAAAAACAGCAAGATGACTTATTAAAACTTAACCACACCTGGGCTGGGGATTTAGCTCAGTGGTGCCACCAACTGCCTCACAAGCACAAGGACCCAAGTTTGATCTCCAGTACCACCACCACTCACCCCACCACCCCCCGCCAAAAAAACCTAACCACACCAATAATCACATCGGTGGTGAATATTCTAAATATCCCTAGTTAAAAGCAAAGACTGTTAGGTGAGGTGCAGTTGTGTGTACCTATACTTCCAGCTACTGGGGAGGCTAAGGCAGGAAACTCACTTGAGTTCCAAGTGTGTGAGACCAACCTGGGCTATACAATGAGATCTCCTATAAACGAAGAGTATTAGATTGAATTTTTAAAATTCAACTATATGCTGCCTATAGGAAACATATACATTATGGTTTAGATCTAAACCCTCTTCCACACAAGAGTGGGCAAGGTCAGGGTGGTATGGCCACAGATACCACTCAGGAAGGAATCTCTTAAGTCCAGTCTTTCTCTCCATTTCTTCTGACCTCTCATCAGAATCACTTTTTTTGGGGGGTACTGGGGATAGCGCTCAGGCCTTGCAATTGCGAGGCAGGTGGCAGCACCCAACACCACTGAGCTAAATCCCCAGCCCTTATCAGAATCAATCTTAATGCTGATTTCAGTGATCAAGGCTTTTTCTAGGTTGCTCCTCAAAATTCTTCCAGACTGTTACCTACTAGAGGCTGATCAGACCCCAAATCATCTGACCAAGGGTATGGCAGCGGGATTAAAAAGACAAGATCTTAATGCCTAAATGGGTGGCCCAGGATGGTCAAACATCTTATCGGGCTAAGACACCCCCTGGAGCTTTCCACTATTTATTGAACATGCAGCTTACAGAAGGGGCAGGGAACGGTGGAGTGCAGAGTACTGATACGAGCAGGTTCCTAGCAACAGGGAATGAAACATTCTAGCAAGAACAGCTCGTAGATTAATGGGAAATTTATTTCTTTGCATGGACTAGTTTTTGTCTCTAGGGGAGTTTTCTGTACTGAGTCCTGCTGCCCTTAGCTGCACTACTGTCTTGCCATCAAAGATGTCGCACTGTCATGGATCACTGAGGCTTCTGCTGTAATCAGTGGTGTGGGGTTTGTTCCTTTCCAACACACCAATTGCTGGCTCTTCAGCAAAGCTACTGTGGACCAATAGGCAGACTCAGACTTTTTTTTTTTTTTTTTTTTTGA